GCATCTCCTGGCGAACAGGTATGTCTTGCTGCAATGACCTTTGCTTTAGTTTAGGATGTGCCCTTTGCAAGAGAACTTGACCTTTGACCTGCTTTCACGTTTCTGGGTCCTGGCGAGATACCCCTTCATGATWCTTTGCTTTTACAAGGCCTGTATCGGGTAAAGGCCCTTTTACTCTCGCCGGCCTAGTTTCGAAGTCCTCAGAGAAATCACTTATCTATCAATGATGTGGATTCCTTTCTTTTCCCTTTCATATGCAGACACAATATGAGGTGCAGAGTCTAATAACTCTTCTCGTGTGAACCAACGATCTTCACTAGGATCTTGGTATGCAAACCTCACCTTATATGGACGCTGTGGTCTGCCTCTTCGTCCAGTGTGATAAGTACTTTTTGCAACAATCTTATCCACGTCATACTTTCCATCCATACTTGGAGGTATCGCTGATCTGCGACTTCGGAATAACTCATTTGTCACACAAGGTAAGAGCTTTGATGCGTGGAACACTGGATAAGTACACAGGTATAAAGGAACCTCAATGACATATGAAGGACCATCCACATCTCCAGTCACGTCTAAAACCTGCCAAGGCCCTCTGTAGGTGGGTAGAAGTTTCTGAGAAATGTTCTCTTCATGTGCGAATTCTTTAGACTTCACCCAAACTAAGTCTCCCACAACAAATTGAGACGGTCGTTTATGCTTATTCGCCTGCTCAATCATCTGATGTTGAGCTTTGATTATGTTCTCCTTTACCTTCTCAATAACCTTTTGGTATTGGATCGCGAATTCACTAGTCCCTAAAGGAAGCTTATGTACTTGATCTGGGTTTAGTTGATCAATGGGCCGGCGTGTACGCCATCCCAGGTGCAACTCCATAGGAGTCTTACACGTAGATAGATGCACAGAGTTATTGTAGGCACTAGCAACCTTAGGCAGATGTTCATCTCAGTCAATCTGATCGGGACGGATGTACATGCGCAAGGTTTGCTGCAATATCTTGTTCATCTGCTCAGTCTGGCCATTAGTTTCAGGATGTCTCCCTGATGACATAGTCAACTTGGAGCCATACACATTCATCAGTTGCTGCCATTGTTCACTCATGAACCTTGTATCTCTGTAACTGACAATAGTCAAGGGATGCCCAAAATCCTTTACCCAATGGTTGAAAAACTCTCGAATTACCAAATCAGTCTTTGCTTCCAAAAAAGGCAAAGCCCAAAATCCTTTACCCAATGGTTGAAAAACTCTCGAATTACCAAATCAGTTTTTGCTTCCAAAAAAGGCAAAACTACAAAAACAACATACTTAGTGAATCTATTCACTATTACCATCACTTGCATTTTCCTATTTCTGCTTTTTACTTTAGTGTCCATGAAGTCTATAGATATGGAGTCTCCAGGGCCTGTAGGGATAGGCAAGGGCTCAAGTAGCCCAAGGGGAGATTGCGTGGTGCTTTTGTTTCGTTGGCACACTTGACAACCTTGCACATATGCGATACGGTCTGCTTTCATTCGAGGCTAGGTGTAGGAACGCAACAAAGTCCCATAGGTCTTTTTCCACCCAAAATGGCCTTCCGTATAACGACATTCCCCTAAGATCAAACTCTTGATCTCTTCATTATTTGGTATGCATAACCTATCATTCACATCAGTTCTTTCAAACAATAGACCCTAAGTAACCTTGTGATCAGGAAACTCTGCTGGCGTCTCTTGTACTCGCTTAATCATGGTTCCATAGACAGAATCAGAGGAATACGCATTCCTAATCTTTTCTTGCAGATCAGCACCAACCTCTAAATATGTTACAATGGCACCGAAGAAATCAAATCTGCGACTTAGTGCATCAGCAACAACGTTATACTTACCCTTTACTGGCTTTAGCTCAAAATCAAACATATCAATCTCTGCAGCCCATCTTGTTAACTTGGGCGTCATTCGAGCTTGCGTTTTGAGCCAGCGAAGTGTCTCATGGTCAGAGTATACTTTAAAGTGTCTCCCCAGAAGATAGTGTCGCCAATGATTGAGAGCTTCGCGAAGAGCATATAACTCTCTTTCATACGTTGAGGCGGTCTCTTTCTCATTAGGTAATCGACAAGATATAAACTCCACAGGTCTGTATCCATGCCCATCATCTTGCTGGAGTACAACACCTATACCATATTGACTAGCATCAGTTGTGACCACGAAAGGTAAGGAAGGGTCGGCCACTTTCAGAACCGGATAGTTAATCAAACACTTTTTCAGACGTTTGAATGACATCGTGCAGTCTGAATCCCACTTCCAAATTACTTCCTTCTTAAGCAATCGACGAAGGGGAGCAGCAATTATCGTAAAGTGTTTTACGAACTTTCGATAATAGTTGGCTAACCCACGGAACGACCGCAACTCAGTCAAAGTGCGGGGGTTTGGCCAATCTCTGATTGTTGCTATTTTGGCATCTTCGGGTTTGACCCCATCTCCATCAATCACATGTCCTAGATATAGAACCTGATGCTAGGCCCATTCACACTTCTTTGGGTTTAGCTTGAGTTTTGCTTCTCTCAGTTTATTTAGCACAAGTCGAAGGTGCTCAGCATGCTCTTTTTCATCTTTGCTAAAAATCAGAATATCATCGAGATAAATAACAACAAATTTGTCAAGCCATTCACGAAACAGTTCATTCATCGTTCTTTGGAAAGTGGCAGGGGCATTCGTTAGACCAAAGGGCAAAACTATGAATTCATAATGCCATCCTTCTTAGGCACTAAGAGCACAGGCGCACCATAGGGCGAGGAGCTAGGTCTTATCCATCCATTTTTCAGCAACTCATCGAGTTGAGTTCGCAGTTCATCCAATTCCTGGGGCGACATAGGATAGGTAGGCCCCTTCGGGGGCGCGCTCCCTGGAATGATATCAATGCGGTGTCGGATTGGTCTTTCTACCACACCGCTTGGGGCTTCAGCCACATCTGCGAACTCTTTCAGGATCCTCTCAATCTCTTGAGACCTGACTTCTTCCTTATTTTCTCCTTCCTTTACTGGGCGCACATGTGCAACAAAGACTTGATCATACAAGTTATGTTTTCTTACATGGCGAGCGAACGCGGGGGCACTCATGCAACAGTGAGTTAGGCTGCTTTCCTTTCCAGACTCGTGATAGAGACAAATTTTCTTTTTACCTCCTTGCGGATTTGGGAGCCAACATTCATGCTCTCTTAACTTCAGATCCGCATTTGCAGCCTCACGCCAATCCATTCCTAGCAACACATCAAAGGGTAAGTTATCCTCCACCAAGGAGGTCAGAGAGTGGAGAAGACGTTCCACCTTCCCCTCTGCCCCTAGCTGAAGTATACTTGAACCCCCTCAACGTATGGATCCATAATGGTTTCACTACTATTAGCTAGCTTACTTACAATGGGCTCATTCAACTTCTTAACTTTAAGCCTAAGACGCAGTTTCCACAACCCTCTCTTACTAATATGACTGCGTGTAGATCCGCTGTCTATCATACCTCCTACTCTCACGCGATTTAATTCAAGATCTGCAATTATTAGCTGTCCTTTCTTTTTCCGCATTTCAGTCCAGGCTGGGCGACGAGCGGCCAACTCATCACCCACGCCAGCGAGGGATCCATCTAGAGAGATGCATATGTTTGCCACCTCTGGACAGTGCACTAGATGGGGACTGTCTTCCTCTTCAGTTTCTGCTATTGGAGCCTTCGAATGAGAGGATTCTGATTTTTTAACATTCGAAGCCCCGGTAGAGGCAACTGGCACCTCTACTGGCTGTTCCCTTTTGCCCCCCTATAGTCAGGGCAATAGGGGACAATGTGGTTGGGGTCCCCACACTTGAGGTATTGGTCTGCTTTCTTTCTTTCTTGCCAGACTTTTTTTGCTATTCCCAACTCTTTCCAAGGCTCTCCTTCGGGTAAGCCCAGATGTGGTGGGTACGGTTTGTCCCACTTGTTATACCAAGTGCCCCTTCCTCTACCCCTGGTGGAGTAAGAACCACGGCCACCTTGTGAGGGACCATTTCCCCTTCCTCCCACTTAGTGGCTTCCTTCACCACCACCCCTTTGGGTGCCGAATCCTCGTCCACCACGGCCGCGACCTCTTCCTCGGCCACGCCCTCTTCCTTGACGCCCTCCCCCGCGGGCTGCAACAGCCGCGTAACTCCCCTCCTGAGCTACCGGTCCGCTGGGTCCATCGAGACCATAATCTACCTGATCCCAGGAAATGGTCTCGGCGCCTCCTTCTTCAAAGGTTAGAAGGAGGCTGTCTTTTCCAGGTATAGACCCTGAGATAGTGTGGTTTTGCCACTTTTTTCCCGCCTGCATATCCTTCCAATAATGGCAATAGTTCACTTCAGCGAGGAAGCCGGCGTGATCTATTGCGATTTTGCCGAACTTCTCATACGTCATTCCTTCTTCTTTGACGCGGGTATAAAGTTGTGTCCTTAGGGGATCCGGGAGTGCTCGCGCAAAACTGTTCAATATTTGGGCAGGTGTCAACCCATGGTCTGGGCATTGCAATAACTCATCCATAGTTGCTTTCAAGGCAGAGGTGCTTTTCCATTTCCTATCAGGGAGGTTGAGGATTAGCATTTATGTGCGACGTGCTAAGTTCTTATCCTCAAATCTTTCTCTAACCGCTTTAAGGAATTCTTCAATTCGAGTTTGTTGCGAGAACTCTACCATGGAACTGCATCCCGCTTCTTTTTGCAGCGAGATGGCAAAGCTCATGGCATCGCCTCCCATGCATGAAGTTGCCATTAGCACCCGGTCCCAGTATGGGATTCGCTGCCCATATACGTATGTTTTGATTGCTGTTGCCCAATGCAAGACACTCTCTTCCTTCTTTCCGTTATAAGTCCATGGCAGTTTAAGTTTTATCTTGCTAGCCTGCCCTGTTTCTTGTGGAAGTTTCCCCTTTGGATCCCCGCCTCTTTTCTCCTTCTTGTCATCATCGCCATCGTCATCCCCATCTCCTCCTCCGCCTCCAGCTCCCTTCACAATCTTTTCTACAACTTCAGGAGTGAAAGTCTTAGTAACATGCTCATCCAAGGCCCTGATGTACGTTTGAACATGTTGGTCAACATCCTTAGCTGACTTCTCTAGGAAGTTGTTCCAGACGGTTTCAAACTCGACCCGGTGTGTTTCTACCCTTCGCAAGGTCTGACGCATTAAGTTCATGTCCTGCCTTGTGTTGAGGACGGCTTCTTTGAGTAGAGCAAGCTGTTCTTCTGTCGCAGAGGGTTTTCTTTTTGTGCTTCTAAAGCCTTCTGCAATTTTTCCCCTTCTGCCTGCAACCTCTTTTTTTCTTCCACATCTTGCCGTCTGGCTGCTAACAACTTACTGTTTAGCTCCGCCCTTTTTTCCTCCAACATCAGATTGCGTTCAACGGTGTCTGTTACAGTGGCCAATTTGGCAATGAACACGTCGCGTTCTTCTTCAGACTCTTTTAAAGGTTGGCTGGAGTAATAGTACCGACCAGCCCAATCCAGCGGTTCAACTGGAAGTCTGGCTGCCACAGTACCGCTGCTCTCAGGGAGGTCCAGGCGACGACGTCTTTCCAAAATTTTTCCTTCTTCCTGTTCTTCTTCTTCTTCTTCTTGTATACTTTTCAACTCTTCTTCTAATTCTTTATCCATCTTCTCTTTCATCTTCTTTCTTGCTTCTTCTTCTTTCTGTTTTTTCTTAGTTTCCTTTTCTTTTTTCTTTTCTTTTTTTTAATGCTGTCTGGCTTCCTGGATCAAACTCCTGCAATGCGTTGCTTGTATTTATACTTCCCCCTAGATGCTTGGTTTATACTAACTGGCTGGTTGTCTGATGCAGGTATGGAGTACAGCGCAGAAAGGTCAGCTGCAGATGGTTCACTTAATCAACCAGGCAGAAATATCTTGCTCCGTTTTTCTTTCTTTCGGGCTTATCTGGCCCTGTAAATGCTCATCATCATGTTTGCACTGCCTGGTACTTGCAGTCTGATGTGGCATATAGCCAATTCCCACATCGATTCTTAGTCCATGATGACGATACACAGCTTGCCTATCAAGAGGGTTAGGAGAGAAGTCTACTCCTACTCGCAGAACACTGGACCACCTAATCTAGTGTGACCAGGCCCTGACACATTGCATTTGGACCATCCAGATTCTGACGACTCAGACTCTGACACACTACGATGATCCAGATCCAGTCCTGACTTCCAGTCCAGCAGCAGTCACCTTTAGAGGGCAGAGAAAGAGAAGGTAGGGCACACACACATACATGCAGGTTCAGGGAAAGGAGGTGCTTCTCTCTTCTTGAAGATACCGCCGATGATGCTCCACGACGCTCCGCATGCTCCAGGTAAGTAACTCTCACGTCTTCTTCTTCGGCCTCCTTCCCCTACTATCACAACACCTCTACTCTCCCTCCCTCCTTCACTTATCCTCCATCACCACTTCTCGCCGGCCTTGATCATGCCAGCGCTATGAGTGCAGCGAGCATCTGCTCCGATACCAAATTTTGCATGGGTCCTGAAGACCATCTCACGCAAGTGTGTACATGTCACGCATCATCCTTGCACACATTGATCAAGAGTCTCACACAACAGACAAAGATAGATGAGAAAGAGAACCGAGTTGCACAACGTATATTATCAAAAATATGAATTCAAAGAGTTTCATAGTTCCCCAAGTCCAGCGCTCATCAGCGCAATGTAAATCCCTTGTGAACTCATCATCATGACTTCAGCACATCAGTGCTACTTCTGCAGATTGTATCCAAGTCATCAAGGTGATCACTACTCTTCAGCGCCACCTCTTCAG